GGTGCCTAACCGACTAGGAGATTGCGAGTCTTGAGAAGCCCTTTGGAGGTGGCAGCAGCTGTCAGTGCTCAGGCGGTAAAGCCCTTTCCTTCCGAGCATACTCACTACATGGCATCTGATTGTCCCTCGGGAGGTGCTCGCGGGCCTCACCAGAGCTGGTTTGCGTCCCGGCCAGCTGCCTGTTGGAGCGGACCAGTCCCACCTTTGGAACGAGTCTGCTCTCCTTCCCCGTGGACCTGTGCCTTACATTGACCGTCACCGGTCCTGGCTCTCAACTTGCTGCCACCACCCTGTAGGCAGCCTCGAGGGCCATGCAGGATTCCACGTTCCGACTTACGGCTACGGAGGGAATACCTAATGGCGAGGTTGGGGCCACAGATCTGGGGCGGCTACAGGAGGAAAAACAGGACTTGGAGCGGCAACTTCTAGAGAAAAACAAGGTGAGGATGCCCTTCGCCTCGGCTGTTTATATCTTTGCTCAGTCCCTTCTGAGAGTTTTGCCGACACCCCTGGGCACCTCACGGGGGAGACGCGACCTCACTCCTTAGAAGGGCTTCTCCCCGCTTCCCTCTGCTCCTTCCCCCCGCATTGCCTTCTCCCTTTCACACCTCCCCAGTCTTCTCCTGCGCCCCCCGACCCGACATGCCATTCAGAGCATGAGAGCTTGGGCAGTAGCAGGTCTGGGTGTTCCCAGCCACCTCTGCCATCACCAGCTGGGTCATATTGGACCCATATTGTCTCCTTACCCACGGACGTCCTTTCTACAGCTGTCCCCTTCTGCTGTCCCCGGCACTCTCTCTGCTGTCCCCAGCAGCCCCTCTCAGGCACCCTGGCCTTGCCTTTCTGTGAATATCAAGTACCCGCCTGCCTCAGGGCCTTCGTACTTGCTGAGCCTTCCATCCAAAATATTCTCCCCCAGTTATCCTCGCCTCCATTATGGTATCGTTTTGTCAGTGAGGCTCCCCAGCTATCCCGTCAGCCCTCACCGCCAGAACCCCTACCCCTGCCTTGCTTTTTCTCTCCATGCCGATATATTGTATATTTGGTTTGGACACTTTTGGCTCCTGAGAGCATACATTTCTTGTTTGTTTGTTTGTTTATTGGCTATTTCCTCAGCCTCTAGGACAGTGTTTGGCACATAGTAGGGACTCAGTATTTGTTGGATGAATTAGCGAAATGAGCCTAAAACCTAGAAAATCAAGTAACATAAAATAAAATAGCAAATGTACTTTTTGAGGAATGTCTAACCTCATGATCAAACGAGAATGCCAGCTGAAACAACACGTCACCATTTCGTGAGCTGGGGCGTTAGAGGCAGTTAAAAGTGCTTGACAGGACTTTCACGCTCCTCTGGCCCAGTCCTCCCATCCCTCAAGAGAGACCGTGGAGATAACCTCTCTCGAGAAAAGAAAGCATACTATGGCTTTGTTCAAAAATAGAAACAGCTACACAACTAGACATGGGGCGTCCCCTAGAGTTACTGTCACATTAAAAGTGACAATTAGGAAACTGTAGAAAGCTGTGAAAACTCTGATAAATGTAAAATACCATTCAAAATTCTAGATGCTTGATGCAAGAATGGTGACGGACTAGAAGTCCACAGGAAAAACTCATTTTCATACGTCGTTGTGAGGCTTTGGAATAATTTTTATTTAAAAATTTTCCTGTATTGCTGGTTATACAGTAAATTTTTCATTGAGAAAACATTGGGAATGTGTAGTAAATTGTATTTAAGGCTTATAATTAAACACACTTAAAATAGATAAGTAAAAGACATAAAACCCAGTGTTGGTGAGCTACGCAGAAGAAACACGATCTTTTACACTGTTCAAAATAAGCATCGAGTCACAGTGTTTCAGGGCAGCGGCGGTAATGACGAGAGCCGTAAATGTCGGTCTGAGTCCTGCTTGGGGATCATAGTACATGCATATAATTCCGAAGGGCTGACTAGTCCGTACAGAGGTGTTTCCAGCTGTGCTACTTATGGAGGCGCGCTCCGGAGGCAGTCCTGAGGACAGAGCCCCTGGGGAGGGTGGGACAGCAGGGCGCTCACGTGCTCTGCAGAGGGGTATGTGATGACATGGTGGCCATTGATGGCATTGCCAAGAGCAAGTGTGTGCACAGCAGCTGCGTGTGAGGGACAGAGCCCAGCGCAGAAGACATACAGGTGTGACAGCACAAGCCTCTCAGGAGACCAGGCAGGGACTTCTAATAGTTGTCTGGGTACCCAAGAGAGCATCTGTCTGTCCTGTTGTCCTTTGCTCCTTAAAGATGGTGAGATGTACATTTAATGGACGGCTTTTCGCGGGGTGGGGGTTTGTCTCAGACCATAAAGCAGATGCAGCAGAGGATGCTGGAACTCAGAAAGACGCTGCAGAAGGAACTGGTGAGTGCCCCTGTCCTCCCCGCTGCCTGCGCCCTCCCTGCCCTCTGGTTCTCCTGGGGTCCCTCGGTGCCTAGTGATGACGCTCGCAGGTGATTGCAAGGCGTCTCTGGGAGGTCAGATGTCACCTAGTAGGACAGTGTCCCTGCCAGCTTGAACATACCTTTACAGTGGCTATGTGGCCTCAGGCTTGTGCCTTCCTCCGAGCCTGTGTATTGTCAGGGGAGTCAGTGAGGTGACTTGTGCGCCACATGCGGATGGCAGAGTGGCAGGCCCTGAAATGGGAGGAGAGCAGCACCCCTCCCCTGGCTGGGTGCTCACTGCCCCCGGACATGCATCCTGACACAGATAAAGGAGATGTCGGAACTTCTGCAGGTGGCCTCTCTCCTTTCAGCCGTCCACCCCGTGTGGAGGGGCTGAGCCTTCTTCATATGCTGGCGCTTCCTCCCAGGGGGCGGCCCATTCACCTTACTGTGCGTAGGGGGTGGCAGAGGACCAACAGGTGATCACAGGGTAGGCCAGGCGAATCTCCCGTGTGATTTTAAGAAGCGTCTTGAGTGGCTCAGTATAGCATCTTTCCATTGGTTTTTCAGAAAATCAGGCCCGATAGTGAGCTTTTTGAAGTCCGGGAGAAGCCCGGCCCTGAGATGGCAAACATGGCCCCTTCTGTCCCGAATAACACTGACCTGACTGATGCCCGCGAGATCAACTATGAGTACCTTAAACACGTGGTTTTAAAATTCATGTCCTGTCGGGAATCTGAGGTAAAGGGCGTCCGAGTTGCCTTTTGGGTAGAGTTCCACCCGAGGGCCTGGCTCACATGCCCAAGCCCCGCATGGCCTTCTACCAAGGCCACTTCTTCCTTCCTCTCCAGCCTTCCAATTTGGCCACCAGTGTGGACACTTAGTCATTTCTCCAGCTGGCATTGACCTGCTGATTGAGCAGCAAGCAGGGGCGGGGGTGGGGGGACCTAGAGGGACTGGCTCCTGGGAGGACATGTGGGTCGAATGCTGAGGCCAGAGGCCAAGGGACCAAATCCGCCTACTGAGCAGCCCCGCCAAAAGAGCAGGGTCGCTGTGTGGCTGTCCTGGTGATCTGGCCAGTCCCCGAGGTGGACGAAGGAGGGGGAGAAAAAGAACCTGTCATTGCCATCAACCTCAGAATGGCCACCTGCACCCTCCACGTGTTCCTGCCCACCGAGCCAGGAGCACACACCAGGGGCAGAACCAGAAAGCTGCCACTTAGCCCCGAGCCACCCCTCCACCCCCAGTGGAGTCCCAGGCAGCAACACTTGCTTTGTTTCAGGCTTTTCATCTTATAAAAGCTGTGTCAGTGCTGCTGAACTTTTCACAAGAGGAAGAGAACATGCTCAAAGAAACTCTGGAGTACAAGGTAGGGCTTCCTGGTCTGCTGTCCCTTCCAAAAATGGGGTCAGTGATCCCACACCAGCAAACAGGAGCAGCCACGGCTGTGCCATCAGCTTAGAGGGCACTCTCGGAGGACGAACCTGACTCGGGCAGTGTTCACTGAGGACGAGCTTCGTGCCTGCAGCTCGGTCTGTGCTCTGCTTGACCAACAGACCTTGTTTTCCAGAGCACTTTTATTGATATCACTTCATCAGTTGCCCTAGGTCTGGCCCAGCACCCCGACTTAGAAATATATATATTCAAAAAGTATCTGCATCAATTATAAATAGAAAAAAATTTAAGGAAAAAATACCTATAATTCCACCACCTTGTGCTTATCGGCTCAGATTTCCTCCTGTTTCCCTCCTGTGCTTGGAATGGGCTCTGAGCCCTCCAGACGTTACTGCCGCATGGTCTTCACTGCTCTGCTCACAGCCAGTCAGGATGCCCGGGCAGGATGGGGGTGGCCCAGGGGTGGGGACGGGGCTCTTTCAGCTCCCTCTGCCCTAGTCCTGATTCTCATCTCAGGAGCCTTTCCCGTTCCAAACACAGATGTCATGGTTTGGGTCCAAGCCAGCTCCCAAGGGCAGCATCCGGCCGTCTATCTCCAACCCTCGGACACCGTGGTCCTAGATGGAACTACCCAAGGACGGAGCTCTATGGGCTGCCCCATTTTCCGTGAAAAGAACACTGACACACCAGTCTGGGTGGGTTTTTAATCACTGTCGCTGCAGTATTTTGTACAAGTATCTAAACATTGTTTACAAGACTTAAGGCCCACTTCCCTGCAGACTGCTATGAACCTCAGGAGGTAGCTAATCCTGTCATTCTGGTCACAAATGGGAGGGTCCTGGCACTACCCACGTTTCCAGTGCTGCTGAAATCCCAGCCCTGGCCAGCACCCATCCGCACCTGAGTCCTCTGACTTTACTGTTAGCACGGAAAGCTGAAGCCGTCCGCATCTGGCAGAGAGGAGGCGGCCGATCCATCACGTAGCAACGACTCTGGACGTAGCTTGCCCTTTGGAATGATGCCCAGCACGCCTGGCTCACCTGGTTCTGCCAGGGAGAGCCAACTCAGCAGAGGGGCTTTTAAAAATTGTCCTTCTCTGTTAGCATGTTGGGTGGGGTTCAGACGAGTTAGAAGAGGCTTTTTAATCCTTCCTCTCAAAACATTATTTTACCTTGTTTCTCAAACCACCATGAACTTTAGATGTATAAATCTTTAAGATGCTCTGGGACCAGTGTGGATTAATGAATATGCAGCTTTCTGTCAGTATCTCATTTTACTGAAGAAAACTAGCAAATATATAAAAAGATCCTTAGTACCAAATATACTCAATTGCCTTTCTAATGAATGTACTTGTCCTGCATAGGTAAACCACTTTTAACTATTTTTTTATAGCTCAAGTTCTTTGCTCTTATAAACATGTTTTCTGTTGTAAAAGCCATTTAATGGCGTTCTTAAAGGAAAATCAGAGCATCAAGAGAAAACTGTTTCTAACGTTGGGATTCTTGCCCCTTTGTAATTCGCTGGCATCCTATGGCATCCGCTTCCCTCTGAAGCAGTGGTGGTATTTCATTCGCTCTGCTCTTAATTCTGGGTTGTTAGCACTGAGCAAGCACTAATCACATGTTTTCTGTTAAGCACAGACCGCTGTATTCAGAGAGGCAGCAGCTGTCCCTCCCTCAAGCCCTGACCAAAACATTGGAGGTGGTCTGCCCTGTATGTGGAGCCACCAGCTCTCCCTCACCCTACCCCCCAAATATTTAAGATGACAGTACATATGTGGTGTCCAGATAGCCCCCAACTGGCTGCAGGACTTGATAGTATACAGATGGCTCTGGTAATGACTGATGAAAAGTTGTATTCGTTATTAAAGAAAAGGGAACGTGCTTGCCCTGGATAACCACAAAATCAAACAAATCTAAAGGGAAACCGTTTATTTAGTTTGAGGAAAGTTTCGCTGGTCAAATAAAAATAGCTGGAGCTCCTAACTCCGTTGTTATCCCATGATGTAAAGTTCTGTTTCTCAATTACACTTAGGGTTAAAATATCTCAGAAAAACAAGGCTCTTACGGAGTTAACCTGCTACATTTTCACGGGCCTGAGTAGCAAGGGCAGCATCACCCTCGTCCCACCTGGGCTCTGCCATCCCAGTGACCCATTCTTCAGTCTCCTCCCATGACTCCTCCCTGCCAATGTCTGTCCTGTTCAGAATGCTATTTTCCATTTATCTGGTGGGGACACAAAACAGGAGTCCCTTCTGTTCCGTTATTTTGATGAGGAAGAGGTAGCTTTACTACCTGTTCCAGAGTTCCGAAGGTCAGGCAGTTCAGGGCTTGCCACAGGCAGCTACAACACACCTGCAGGAGCCCGTTCAACTCTGGTGGCCTCACAGCCCCCCCCAACCCCGGGCAGGTGTAGGTGTGGCTGTGGGGCCCATCACTCGGTCTGTACTTGCTTAGAGAGGATGCATTTTGATTAGGCGTTCCTCCTGCATGTTGAATTTTTTTCAGCTTTAAGAGTGGAGTAACTTCAGATTTAATGCACTTTCACTTGTATAAACATTCTGTGAGAGACAGTATATGACCCTTTATATGAGCATTGGATCTGGATCTCTCCCTCCATGTTGTAAATAGGGATTATATTATCTAAAATTGCTGTAGAAAAATTATTTGTGGTGCAATATACTTTTTGATTAAAGCTCTTCAATCCAGATGCAACTACAGTGGGTTTTACTGATAGTTTGGTGTCAATATTTCTTTGACTTAATAAATTTAGTACATTGTGTCTCATATTCAGTACTTCAAGGGTTACATAGCATGTGTTTTGGAAAGAATCTCCCCACATAGGGTTTGCATGAATAAATATATGCAATTTAATGAGCCAGCAGCCTAGGTCTACCTCCCAAGAATAGTGGGGGTTCTGCAGGAGTTGGGAGGACTGTGTCACTTTGGTCACAGTCTATCTCCAAGGCCCACAGAATGCAAACTATTTATGTATTAAAAAGGAAAGAAAAGCATCTTTACTCTTTGAAGAGGCTCTTGTTAGTATTTATAGGGCACAAAATGTTCTTTTTATATCTATAGGCTGACTACGTTTCTAGCTTTTAATTTTTAAAAGAACTTGTCAACATTGCAGTAAGAATATTCCTATCACACAGCCAAACCTGGGGTCAGAGATGGTGACCAGGCCTTTCTGAGGCCTATTTTCAGAAGACTCCAAGTACAGTCACACAAACTGAAGACTTTTAAAGCCTAGATCAATTATTGAATGTTTGGCACTTTATTAAATTAAATAAGCTCCAAAATTACATACAAATCAAAGGAGTAAAAACAATAAATACGTATTCAGCAAAACATCTCTCCATAGCAACCGGTAGCACTGTAGCCCAGGCCTGAGGTACCGCTGTGACGAGGGCTGATTGCCATGCTCGCTCCCTGGGGATGGCTGAACGGGGATGCACATCTGCCCCCTCTACATGGAGTTTCCACACTGAATTTCCAGAAGTCGACCCCGCATTCATTATCTTTTTTTTTTTTTTTAACATATATGAAACACACTGCAAAGTATATACTAATAAGCCAAGAGCTTTATTGATGCAGCAGGCACTTTACAATGAACCCAAGAGAGCCTGCCTTCTCTGGGAGGATGGGCTGTCTGTACAAACCCTTGGGGTTTTCCACTTCAAAAACAAGCTAAGCGCTCCCTTTACCACAGCCCTTGGATCTGCACCTGCCCAAATCATCCCTCCCCCATTTTAAACAGGCAGTGCACACAGGTACACTTGACCATCCCTGGCCAGCCACTCTGGTAGACAGTCACAATGTCAGTTCTGCATTACTTGTGGACAAAGGCATAGACTTATCAGATCCTGCAAAGGATTTAGGAAACAGTAAGACAATTTCTCCCTCCACCTTGAAAATAAAATACACTTCAGCGGATGCATGTCCTGAAATAGTTGGGAGTTCCTAGGAAGATGGTCCATTGTCAATCCCTTCTTCACCAGCCTGTGCATCCAAAATTCTTCTCACGGTAACATGAGTCTCTTTTTTTTTTTTTTTTTAAACAGTCTTTCTTGCTGTAAGAACTCTTATAATGGAGCCTAGTCCTCCTACTGCTAACGCCTGTGGGGCAGTAAAAGGAAACATGTCAAATGAGACCCAAGGAGACCCATTTAGACAAGGGGGAGCCTCGGCTGGCTTGCCAGGGGAAGTGGGACCATGCATTTGCTGACCTAGGTCCCACCATGTCACAGACCCTCTGAAAAAGGATTCCTGCAAGAGCACAGGCACAGTCAGAAGGCAACAGAGCTCTCGTTCTCAGGACAAAGCCCTGTCCTGGGGCCAAGGGTCCAGGAAGTGCTAGTTCTTCAGGCACTAGAACTGAGCTTAACAGTGACCAAGCGCGCGCGCGCACGCACACACACACAGCAGAGCCCCCCACTCCGCAATTTCCCTTTTGACAAGCTCATTGTTTCCAGCCTGCTGCACTGCCCCAGGCACTTAAGACACTAGGTCATCACAGCTGCCTTCCTGAGCCCATATTAGAAATGCCACCAGGGCTGAGCACCAAGCTGCCTAAAAGGGCCCCAAGGGCTTGGTCTCCACACCACCCCCACCTACTAAGCCCAAGAGCTCACCTTCCAGCCAAGCAGGCAGAGAACACCCACGAGCAGGACCAAAGGCCACAGCCTCAGCCCAGCACCACTCGAGTGAGCTGTCTCAGAGGACCACTCCCTTAATATCACTGGGGCCTTTATGGAAGGACGCTGTGTTAGTGACAGCCTGACCTCCTGTGATGGTGAGTGTGCTTCTCGTAGTTCGACAGGTCAAGGGGACAAAGGCTTGATAAAAGGCTTTACTCTTGTACCAAGCAAAGGACAGGCACAGCCTTTTCTGCTTCAGGTGGATGAAGACCCTTTTAAGTGACCGTCAAGGTTTCTGCCACTGCCCACTCTGGCCTGGTGAGGCTGAGGCCTGAGCAGGAAGCCCTTAGGGCTAGCTGGAAGGCTCAGCCTGCATTCCTCAGATCCTCCCAACCACCAACTCCACCAAAGCAAAGTATTATGAAGCCCCGGCCATCAGCACGTCTGCCTGCCTCCCATCTGGGACTCCCCATCCACAGTATCATGCCAAGGTACCTGCCCCCATGACCTGCCTGGCATAAATCAGCAGCTAAAGCAGCTGTGATTACCAGAAACAATGGACCCCTACCGGGTGCTTCCCTGGCAAAGGTAAGTGATCAGATGTCCCAGGTGGCTTTAGGCATGGGACAATCTTTGTTCGCATATACCTATCAGACTGTCCTCTTATTTGTTCTGGAAAATGGCCTGCTGATTTGAACCTTGGGGTTGGGGTGAGTCAGCTGGCTGCTGACATGGGCAACGTGTTCACATACCTTTTCATGCCACTGGAGTAACACTGCGCTGCTATTTTCTGTGGGCTTCTCAAACCCTTTATAAATGTACTTCATTAGCAAGTCAATGCCATTTCTGTCCAGTGACTGCACAGCCTGCTCAATTTCGCTGCTCTTAAAATTTGTAAGCACTTTCAGCACCACGCCCTGGGCTCGTTCCTACAGAGGAAAGAGAAAGGGAGTGAAGCCCAGTGCCACAGCCCAGGCACATTCACGTCCCCCACCGCAGGCAAGAAACACCAAACCGAGTGGTCAGAACTCACTAGGAACACAGTACAATTTCTAATTTGTCTGAGACGGTTAAAAAAAAATAAGTGGGCAGAAATTCTCTTACTGATTTAAATTACAAAGTATCCCTTACTTATGCAAATAAGTTATCCCACTACTTTGGGGGAAATGACTGGTTTACTGGGGAGAAGCATCACTATATTTTTATGATGACACCAGCAAGGCCAAGACGCCACAGGACCACAGCTATGGAGGTCTATTTTTTTCATTATTTTTAATTAGAGCTGACATTCGATATTTTATATTAGTTTCAGGTATACAGCATAATGACTAGTGGAGATCCATTTTTTTAAAAAACAGGTTTATCTGGCTGCAGCTTCTCTCTGCATTCACCCCCAGCGAGAGGTGCCATTTCCCCTCAGACCAGTGAGGTCTGCTGATTACATCAAGATGCTGTCACAAGATGGAAAAATCCCAGCTTCAGAGAGACCCCTTTCCCTGGACCAAATTTTAGGCTCATGATGAAACGTTAGCCTCAGTGATGCAGTAAGCAGAAACTATCTTCTCACCTAGTTTTTTAAAGTCAGGAAATCCTAAAAGCAGTGAAAATCCTTATGCAAATAAAGCCTGTTCAATAGCGTAGAAAAGCAAAACTCTGCTACGTGCCACATGGCAAGCTAATTTATAGTTTTGCTAATCAGCAAGGGTTGGGCTGACTTCTCACCCCATAAGGCCCAGGGGAGGAGTGATCGTTTCTTTAGGGAGCTTTTAAAATAAACACTGACAGCTTTGATGTCAGGAGCGCCAGGAGGATTCTGTGGAAGCGCTGCCCAGTGCCAACTCACTCCACTGGTAGATACTCACTGATGCAGAGATGACACAGATGCTGTCTGGAGCCCCAGGGAGCTCACGCGCAGCTGGAGACTTGGACAACCACAGCCCTGGTCCCAACACACCCAACAGAGGCGCAGCGTGACCCCCTTTACCTTCACGGCTTGATTCTTGGTGTTGACAGGAGAGTTCCTCAAGGCTGCGTGAAACGCCCGAAGCATGTCCCCTGTGCATCACCACCAGTTAAGGATGGCTAGGCTCAAACATGTCCATGCTTTTATTAATGAACTCATCTCAAAGACAGCTCAAGAGTAGAGTCAAATGGCATCTTATTCACAGCCACCCACCACTCACTGCGGCTTCCTGGTGGGCAAAGCCTGTTTAGAGGGTGGCCTACAGCTTTTCTGAGCCACAAAGAGGGTGGAGGACACCTCTGCCAACTCTGCATGCCTCTCCTTCTACAACCCCCTAAAAAATCCCCCTCAAAGCAAGTCTGGACGCTCCCTTCCTCCATCCCTGAAAGTAGCTAAGCAACTGCCCTCACAAGCTAACTTACAGCAAAATCTGATTGAGTGCACGTGCACCTGCTCGGCAGGGGACAGCGTATCCGCCCTGCTGGATCCTCACAGCAACCATGTGGTTATCATTCCCATCTTGTCATTCACCAAAGGGAAAAACAAAGGCACAAACCGAGGTCTCCTAACTTTTACCTTCCAAGACCTACCCAGGCCAGCAATGTCTCAACAGCTACCAGGAGGGAGATTTATTCATCTAAGAGAAATCTGCCAATATATGAGCCAATCCTCCCTCATCCTCCAAATCTCAGTTGCAATCCTGACATATTCTTTGCTGAGTTCCGAATACCCAGTACTCAAAAGAAAATTACAATCTGGGTTAGGTCCCCAAAGGTGACACCTATTTTAAACTGAATTACATCAGCCAACTTTCATTTCCTCATCTGAAATACTGGCTTCAGCCAAAAAGCTTCAAAAATAGAACGAGGAATGGCTTCTGCCCAATAAGGCCTCTACTCCTGTTCCTGTGGTGATACCCACGTGTGAAACAAAGCTGAGTCCCATCTTCCCTAGTGTGGGCTCCATCTTGACTGAACTGGGCCCACGCCACTCAGAAGCCACACAGAAGCCACTCCTGCCACCTTCCAAGCCCCTGCTAAGTTCTGATCCACTTTCCACATTTGAGAGGCAGCCCACTCCCTGTCTCTATCAGCTTTGAAATTCCTCTCCCCCCTGCCAGGCAAGGGCCAGTCTGATATCAGCTACTGATAACTTCTACCTCAGAATTCTTTTCCAATTTGGTGTCCCAGAGCAATAAAGAGTCCCAGAGGCTTAAAAAGGAAATATAGGCTGGTGCTCTTCACTATACAGTATGGTTGACAGACAAAATCATTCAGAAGATGGGTAGGATAACTAGTCCATGGAGGCAAAAAGAATCACTGCTTTAGAGTCACCTCTCTGTAGTACCAGTCTACCAAGCATTCACTGTATTGATGGGTAAAGGGCCGTCAGCAGCTGGGAAGATCTGGGGAGCTAGGAAGGTTAGTTCCCAAGCTGGCCTCCACACTCGGCTGGCTTCAGGCTCTTCCAAAGATCAGGCGGTGAGACTGGGGAACTGTGCCCAACTCCTAGCTTCCTCTAGATCAGGGTTTTTCAACCATGGAACTATTGCCATTTTAGACCAGATGATCGATGTGGGGTCTGTTTTATGCATCATACAATATTTAGCAACATCCCTGGCTCTACCCACTAGGTTCCAGTAGCACCCCTCAAGACGTGACAATCAAAATATCTCCAAACACTGCCAAATTCCCTCAGGGGGAGGAAAGTGAAAAATCACTCAAAACCACTGCGCTGAACAGATCCCTGCTTCAGAGGACCAGAAAGTGCTTCAGAGAGGAAAAAAGGAATATTATTTTTAAATCCCTATGAGGTCTCAGATCCTGTAGCAAGTGCTTTCATATGTCATCTCATTACTGCTAACAACTCTTTGTGACAAGAATCATATTTCTCATTTTAAAGACAATGAATTTGAGGCTCAGAGAAGGGAAGAGACCTGCCCAACGTCAAAAAGCTAAGCTGTCCAGTGGGCCTTCAAACCCAGGATGCCTGAATCCAAAGCCAAGCTCTTTTTACAATCCCTTGCTGCACTCCACCCACTGACCCACGCAGCATGTCCAGGACACCTGCTGTGTGCCCAGCGCTGTGCTGAAGCCTTCTGGGCCACTGTCCAGCAATGCTCCCATGGAACCTATAAGGTCAGCATGGTTCTCCTTCTTTTAACAGAGAAGGATGCTGATCTTCAGAGGGTATGTGACCTCCTGAAGGTCACACAGCTATGGCATGATATAGGGTCTGTGTGGATGAACAGTCCGTGCTCCTATTTCACGACTTGCTTCCATACACAGTACTAGGACAGGCATCCTACCTATATCCCCCTATTCCAATCAACCCCTATCCCTACTCCCTCACTTCTGTCCTAAGATTCCTAGAAGCCTGCTCTACAACTTAAATTCAATGATCTAATATAAGTCCAACATCTGGCACATGGTAAGGCCTCAGTAAACATTAGTTCCTTCCTCCTCCCTCCTTGGGCTCCACATTTGCTAAGATTTCAGTTCTCATCCGCTAACCTCCCCTTCTCTAATCCCAAGAGGTACATTCTCCATGGTAACGAGGTTTCTGATATTGTAATTAGTGAAGAAAATACCATCCCCTGGATGTGCTAAGCCTAGACCTCCAAGCAGCCTCAAAGAACCTATCACTAGTCAGGGTCATACAAGAGATGACCTTCAATAAGTCCCTGCAGCACCGGAACCAAGACAGCAGATAACCAGACCTTGTTCTCCCCATCTGTGGATGGTCCTGAGCCACAGGCCTGACCCTGGAGCCCTTGTGGCACCACCTGCCCATGAGTGAGGTCCTGCACCAGACGGCAGAATCAGCCTTCCCTCATGGGGGTCCTTCTCATGCTGCCAGTTCACCAATGGGGTAAGCAAGGTGATCCCTGATGGGACAGAAAATACAAGTTTGTACACATATTTGAATACACCTTAGAAAAAACATTCCTCTCTAAAGAAAGTCTGAAAGTTTTTGTTTTAAAGACACACTGAACACTGCAGGACTCCTCCCAAAGGCAGTCTATTCTATGGGCCTGACTTCCCAAGCTGAGTCAACTGATTAAAGACCCAGAACCTGATTTATATACAGCATGAGACTCCAGCCCTGACAAGTGTGGGGGAGGAGCGGGCGCTTCCTGTAAGACCATTTGAATAAGAAAAATCCTTCCTGTGAGAAAAAGTCAGTTTCCTGTGTTCAAACTGCTAAGGGACCAAGCAGGCTGTGAAAACCACCTCTATTCTTAATCGTTTTCTAAACGCTTGTTTTCCGTGGCCACAAAAATAGTCATTTCCAGTCGTGGGGCTCTACTTTTACATTTCGCTTTTTGCTCTCTGGTTTTTCTTAGCTTTAAACTACTAGTTTTTCCCACTGCCTCCTGCACAAGGTTATTTGGGGGAAGGGAGCCAAAACTTACTTGTTGAATGTGGCTTAGACCATCAAGGTCCAAAGCCCAAGGTGTTGGTAGGAAACAGAACAGGTGAGAAAGAGTGGCATTAAGCTAGAGGGTCAGATTGATTCTGGGGTGGGAGGTGCACAATCAGGGCTGGATTAAGGACTTCAGCCTTCGCTCCCCCTTGTGTCCTTTCTTCCCCACTGCCATCCACCCACCTCTTTTTGTGTGGTGCTGCAACCGAGCCCGAGACCCGAGAAGGCTGCCCAGGAGCCGCCCCGGCCGCTCGATTACTCAGTGGTGGCTCACCTGGGCCCCTCCCGCGGGTCAAGCCCGAGTATGACCCCATTTCCTGCAAGGAGGGATGGAGTGATGCGGTGTCCAAGGAAAGGAAAGCCGGAGGGAATGGGGAGGCACGGGGAAGAAAGGAGAGGCCTCGCAAAGGAATGAGCGGCCTGCGGGGCCAGAGGCGCGTCCCGCACGCTCCCGGGGCCGCCGATAGCCGCTCCACCGAGATCCAGGGACCGAATGGGGCTACGCTGCTGCGGCTCCGGGAGCCAGGGCCAGGGACGAGAGGAGTGAGGAGGCCGGATCATAGGGAAGCGAGGGACATTGGTACCGAGGAAACCCAGCCCAACGGGAGCCGGATCAGAAGGGAGTTGGGAGACCGACCAGAGAGGGCCAGGGGTTAGACAAGTGGGGAGCCGGCCTGAGGGGCCGGGGCTCGGGATGAGGGAAGTAGGAAGGCCGAACCAGAAGGAAGCCCGGGCCGCCGCGCAGCAGAAGGATATTGCCGCAGGAGCCCATCCACCTCGCTGGGGTCCGGGCCTGGCTCGCCCGCCGCCGCCGCCGCCTCCTCCTGCTCGTCCACAAATTTGTTCTCGTCAAACTCGTCGATGTCCACCCGACGGAAGCGCGAGGACAGCGTGTTCCGGGCCATGGCGGGGGCTCAGCGCCCGCTCAGCCGGCTCCGCTCCGGGTCCGACCTCCGCTCCACTCCGCTCGGAACCGGCTCGCGCTCGGGGGCGGGAAGCGGCCGCCCGGCACCTCCTCCACCTCCTCCGCGCGCCGCCGCTGCCCGCCCACTTCCGGCCCACGCCGGAACAGGAAGTGCCGGTGGGTGGGGGCGGAGCCTGTGGCGGCGGGGCTGGGATCGCTGGTTAATGTGCTGGGTAACGCGCTTGGTAGTCGTCTCGACTGCCCCCCGTCAGACTCCCATCTTCGTGCCTCCTCAGTCGTTCCATCTCAGGATCGTGCACCCAGCTCCGAGAGGCCCAACATCGTGGACGCCATTATTGCGCTCGTTCTTCGGCCTCCATTCTGCATTCAAGGAGCCCCTGACCCTGGAAGGGGCCGGCGCTGGCACAGCCGCAGACTCCGGGGGTCATCACTGCCCAGACAGAGAAGGCACGAGGCACCCAGGAGAAGTCGCCCGGCTCTGTCTGTCGAATGCCGGGCAGACTTTTTGGAGAAGAAACTTTCGAGCTGAGGCCTGAGGGTTGAGTAGGAGAGTTCTTATGCCCCGGGAAGTGACTAGGGTGGAGGGAGCCCAAGTCTCAGGTTTTAGGAACCTTGTACGCCACCACACTGAGTTCAGAGGAGGTGGCCTCTGCCTCGTACACAGTGACCCTACTGTTAATAGACTAGGAAACTTCGAAAGACGTTCAAAGTGTATCTAGGGTGCTGACAAGACGGTGAAGACCTTTGGGCTTGAGGGTGCGGTGGCTCCGCGTGTGTGTGTGGGGAGGCTGGGTGGGGAGATGGAGATGACCCTGGGGCCACCATCCTGGCAGGAAGGGTGAGGTCCTGGGAGATGAGAAGACAGGCCTGGCTGGAGAGGCATACCCCGGTAGGAAGCCCAGCTGGGGCTAAGATGGGGGTGGGAAGAGGTAGGGCAGAGTAAAGGACGACTCTGGTGCCAGGATTAGGGGCCTGGGCTGGTGTTGCTTGAGGGGTTCCGTTAATGGTCTTTAGCCTTAGCCTAAATTAGGTCTTTGTTTTTATATAATAGTATTCTTTTTAATAAAGGTCAATGAAATATGACTCGTTTCTATTGTTTTGAATATTTCTCATTGAACTGTGTCTACAGAGCAAAAAAAAATATTCCAGACTATGATGCTGCCTAATCACGAGTGCTAAAGATAGACTCCTGCAGTGGAAATAGGTACTGAATAAAAGTCTCAGGGGTCCTGGAAACAGGCAAAGCTCACCTGCCTTTCAGCATAATATGTTTGAAGAAAACTTTGACCCAGGCAGGCCACAAGACAGCAGAAATTCATATCCCCCAGAACATCTTGGTCAAGGGGAACTTTAAACCAGAAATGTCCATTTTACAAGTAAAGAAATAGCCCGTTAACAAACTGAATGAAATAATGTCCCTGCTTATAATATTGGAACTCCAGTCTGGCCAGGGAGGTTAATTTAAAAAATCCGGACTATACTACGTCAGGGATGACTGCTGAAGGGGAAAATAGTCATACCGTGCCTGAGAGTATTGAAGTGGTCAAGAGAGGTGTCCCTGAGGAGGTAACACTGATCAGGGACCTGAAGAAAGCGAAGGAGAGAGCCAAGCAAAGGCCCAGAGGCAGGGCAGACTTGGTGGATTCCAGAAACAGCAGGGCCATACTGGAGCAGGAGAGTGAGAAGAGACGAGATGGAAATGGAAGGGATGCTGCAAGGCTTTGTAGGCTGAGGCAAGGATGTGGACTTAACTCAGATGGGACAGCCCTGGAAATTCTGGACAAAGCAGTGACATGATCTGACTTAAGTATGGAAAGGGTCCCTCTAGCATCTGTATTTAGAACATATGGGAGCAAGAGGCAAAGTAGATGATTTAAGAGATGACACCAACAGTCCAGTGACAGGCAGTGGTAGCTCAGGCCAGGCATGTGCCAATAAGAGCGGTAGGAAGAGGTCAGATATATTTTGAAGGTAGAGGCTACAGAATTAGGTTGTGGATTGGATGTGGCATGTAAGAGGAACAGGGGCATCACAGATGACTCCACGTCCAGAAAAGATGTACACAATCATTAGTTCTAATAGAACTATAAGCGTTTGGGAGCTGTTACCACAAAGCCCCTGTGCACTATTTGACTTCCATTTAATATTAATCCATGGCAAGATTGCCCTCTGCCCTCTCCTCCCCTGAAAGCTTCTCGCTGCGGTGTGGGGCAAGGCTCACTAATTCATTCATCCAACAAGCATCCTCATGCTGAACCTAGAGACTAGAGAAATCAAATCAGATGTCAAATCAGCCTTGGTTCTGCACCCAGAGAACTTCCAGGCTGGCTGTGGAGACAACACATTAACCATTTTAACTCAGTATGTTTGGGGCTAAAGAGAGGATTGCACAGAAAGCTTGGGACACAGGAAGTTGTGTCCCAATTTATTCCAAGGCTAAGGTCCATTAACAACCCCGGAGGAGATGGGAGAAGGCTCCCTGGAGATGACATCTGACAACAACAAGGGGGCAACCTGGCATTAACTAGAGCTCTAAGAGGTGTTGTTGGTGTGTCTTTATTAATGGCAATAGAGTGACACTGGAGCACTGATTCTTTCTGTTTGCGGCAACAATGAAACTGCCCAGTCAGAAAGCCTGAGCACCCTCCCTTGCTTTGTGAATTCCCCTTCAACTTTCGGGGCCAACTCAAATGTTCATTCCACTGGGAACATGAATACCGATGGTATTTTGAACTACTGTTAGTATAGGGTCTTGGGATATCAGTTTTCCGTGTTATCTTCCTAATTCGCATAAATATCCCATTTCACAGATGAGAAAAATGAAAGAAGGGAAGGCACTCGCAGAGTCTGGGCTAGCATCAGGCAAGGGAACAAGAATCTGAAACCGGTACACTTAAAAAAGACCTCGAATGCTCTTTCCTCTGCCACATGCTGCCTCCACTAGAATATTTATGGAGTTGGATTATAGCTGTCTGGTCTCGGCCCCGCTCTCCTGCGTCGGACTTTAAATTTCTCCAAGACTGTTGCCGTGTTAATTCATCGTTGAACATCCTTAGTCTTCATCCCCTCCACCCCCAGAACTAGGGCACCCAGCTCAGAGGAGCGCGAAAAGGGCGACCTGCAGAGATTAACGGAATGAATGCATGAATGAATGAATGAACAAATAAATGACTGAGAGAACGAACTGGAGTCCTCACTATGCTCTTTCAGGAAAACTGCCTCTCACCCCGGGCCTCGGTTTCCCCAACTGCTGTACTCAAGGCGTGACGCGGAGCTAAGAAACCTCGGAGGCTGGAAGAAGACGCGGGAACCACAGGACGGGGCTGGGCGAGCAGTACCATTCGCTCCTCGCTGCGTATGGGGAGTGGGGACAGAAGGGGTGGAGCCCCGCTGCGGCGCTATTGGCTGAGTCCGCCGTCACCCGGCAGTAGTTGCAGGGGTCGGCCCCGCCCCTTCCTCTTTCTCTTCTAGCAGGCGGCGGTGGCGGACGCCTGTTGTAGCTATGGTGAGGGCTTGTGAATCGGGCACCATCCGTGCACTCTGGGGTTCGGGGGCTGAAGTGGAGAGCGCGGGATTAACTCTGGGATCCCATCTACCAGCCGGGCCGGTGGGGCGCCGTGCTGAATGGCTTAGCACCACCCTAATCAGCCTCCGTCCTATTGCTGCCGCCTTAGGCTAAGAGAGACGGGCGCGCGCTGCCGGGGCCCCGGTCTTGCCGTCTCCGGAATCGGGGTAGCGGCCTAGCCTCGTAGCAGGCCTGGGGTAGAGGGAGTGCTGGGCCCCCGGCACGCTCGGGCCGCAAGGCGAGGCGCGCGTCCTCCTGGGGCTGGCTACGGCGCTGGTGGAGGCCTCAGTGAGCGGCGGAAGGGGAGACGGCGCCGCCGGGCGTTTAACCTAGATCCTTTTTTACACACAGGCCAAGATTAAGGCCCGAGACCTTCGTGGCAAGAAGAAGGAGGAGCTGCTGAAACAGCTGGACGACCTAAAGGTGGAGCTGTCCCAGCTGCGCGTCGCCAAAGTGACAGGAGGCGCGGCTTCCAAGCTCTCCAAAATGTAAGTGAAAGTACCCCAGACCACGGCCCTCTGATTAGGGGGTGGAATTTGTGTGCATCGAGAGCATTTGTGGATTTTTGAAGTTGTCTTAGGAAGGTGTCCGTTTAAGTACTCATTCATTGGATCTGTGGGTTGGAATGTCACACCTAACCAGCCTGTCCAGGCTCACCTGCTCACGCCCAGACACGTGGGAGAACCTCACCTTTAACCGCATGGTACTTTTTCCCCCCCGGAGTGCTCTTGTTAAGCTTATTTGGCTGGAGAAAGAACTGGGTGTCCCTGAAGACACATTTTAATGCTGCCTTCAAAAGCCTAACTGGACCTTGTTCTTTTCACCTCACATCAGCCACTTGATTTTTTTACCCTCACTTAGTAAATGGAGTCTGTCCATCTGGACACATTCCACTTCTGCCACATCCTACCTTATGAGCAGGTTGGCTCACCAGCCATTTTCTTTTCCTCTTCTCTGAAATGGGCCCCCAGCCTTCCTACCGTGGTGAGAGGTGATCAAATGAGTTTGGGAACAATAAGCACGTTTCTGGCTGAATCCTCAAAACCAGGTTTACCAGCTATCTACTGAGTGAGCCTCTCCTCGTCCCCAGCATGCTTCTTAGTCAGCATGACATAGGTTCACCTATCCCCAGCTGGTTCCTAGCTTTAGGCTCTCCTGCCCCATAGTACTTTTCCTTCCTACATGGCCCCTGTTGTTATTCCTTAAAATCACCCTGCGTCCCCAGCTTGTGGCATGATTCTTCCCATTTAGCTCTTTCAGATAGGCATTGGTTAGGTCAGTTTCATGCCCCTGGCATGGAAGGTCTTCCCCAGTCTACCCTCTACCACTCCTCATTAAGTCTCCTGAGTGGACACTCAGCCCTTCTCATTCTCACCCTGGGATGCCGGTCTCCAGTAGTGTCTTAGGCCTCACCCCTAGAGCCCTTCTTCCCGGCTGGGTTAGGTGCGTCCTGGGTGAGTATGGGTGAGCTGGTGGGGAATGCCCCTGCACTTTGAGATCTGGGTCAGGCCCTGGACGAGGTGCTTTGGGGGACGCCATGTGTCTTCACCATCTTCACTGACATCTTTTGTTTTTGTAGCCGAGTTGTTCGCAAATCTATCGCCCGCGTTCTCACCGTCATTAACCAGACTCAGAAAGAGAACCTCAGGAAATTCTACAAGGTGAGTAGGGGTGTGTGGGGGCGGTGCTTGGCTGCAGGGAGCAAAGTTCCAGCCCTCCCTTGGCGAAGGAGTCAGTATGAAGAGGTTCTTCTGGGGAGTGTGGACCAGGGCTTTGCCCAGGTGTAGTTGGTGTAGTTGGGCTATCCAGAGCCTTCCCAGCTTGTAGGTGGTTTCACCTTCTTTCCAGCATCTTGCACTAGCATCTGGCCTGCAGACTGCATTTCCTCAGAGTCGCAGTTAAGAAAACGGTATGGTGGGAGTCTGGCTGGAAACTTGGGTTTTGGATGCAGCATGACCAGCTGAATGCGTTTGGACGGTCCACGAGGACTGACTGTTAAACATTTGCCTTACCAGCACTGTGTTAGTCACTGCGAAGCACCTGACATTCTTGTTTTTTGGGAGACGACCCCAAAGCTCAGAGAGGTTAAGTTGCTCAGGGCCACCTACAATTCAGAGAGTGATTTGACCTAGGTTCCAAACCGTGTCTTTGGGAGCGGTGGATTGAGTGCTCCTGGGAGATTCCCACAGGTGTCTGACCTCACAGCCTAGGATTTTGACAGCTTTTTTTTTTTTTTTTTTTTTTGGGTCCCATCTTTAAAGTAGTCTTATCAGGTTCAGGCAGTGACACCGAACCAGTAGGAGACCGTGCGTGTATACATGCATTCATTTTATTATAGGGAGTTGGCTTATGTGATTGTGGGGCCTGGCTAATAAGTCCAAACTCAGGCTGTCTAGAAGAGAAGATCATGGGCGGGCTGGAAGTCGTGACACAGGTTGAAGCTACTGTCCTGCCGCGGGATTACTTAGGGAAAGCCCCAGCCGTGCCTTTAGTGCCTTTCAGTTGATTTTTTCGGGCCCACTCTGATTACCCAGGATATTCTCTTAATTAAAATCAACTGATTAGGGGCTCTAATTACATCTATGAAATGACTTCAACTCCCAAATTAGTGTTTGAATAAATGGAAGGTTTTTTGTTTTGTTTTGTTTTGTTTTTTTTTAAAGCCATAATGGTGTGTCTGGGCTAGCTTCCCAGGGAACACCAGCACGTGGGGGTGGGGGGGTATACTGCCATTTGGGAATGTTTTTCTGAAGATTGGGCCTGAAGCTTTCATCAGGCTCTGAGGGAACCAGACAGGTGGGGGCCTGGAAGCATTGTCTTTGTAACCACCCAGTGAGTGCAGCCATATCAGACACCATTCAGGGAGGTGGAGGTGAAGTCTCTGCTGTCACTGCATCCAGTAGTTTTTCTGTGGTTACAGGCATGTTCTGTACCTACTCTGTCCAATACAGTCATCTGGTCACATGTGCCTATTGAGCACTCAGCGTGGCTATGGTGACTGAGGACTGAATGTTTAATGTAAACAGTACATGTGGCTGGTGGCCACTCTTGAATGACAGGGCTCTAGGAGCTTAGTAAGTTTGAAATAGACAATGTCCTGATCTGTGCCACCCAATGTGTGATATGTGGATGGACAGAGACTTGTGCTTCCCAGTTTCCTCCAGAGCTTGTCCTCATCTGCTTCTTTCTGCAGTTTTCTGCCCCGAGGCTGTTCACGACCTGAACCTCATTTACCTCACATGTACCTGCCCTGTGCCCACCCTCAGGCTGTTGGTAATTCCCGGAAAGAGCCTGAGCTGTCATCGTTCAGGATTTCTGTGCACTGTTTTCTCCCCCTTTCAATTGGCATCCACGTTGCTTGCTTTTGAGGCTATTGCCAGTTAACTAGGTGAATCGTCTCCACTGATGAGCCACTTGTTATCTGTTCAGTCTTCTCCACTGGGCCGGGAGCTCCTTGAGCAGGGACTAGGTCTGATTTGTTGCCAAGCCAGCACCCAGCACAGGGCCTCAAGCCAAAGAGGTCCCAGAAGACCTTTGCAGAACAAAGGAGAGACCATGAGAGCTGCCTTAGTCTGCACCTGCTCACTGGGAGCAAGTGGGGCAGGACTGAATGGGAGCCAGGGGCAGAGATACGATGGCCCTGTTAAAAGTCTGGGAGCAGGAGTAGCATTAGGCCGCCAAGGCAGAGAAGGGGGCTTTGCCTCTGAGCAGTATGACTTTGGCCAAGCTCAGGGGCTCGTGTTAAATGGGAATGTTGTCATAGGGAACACCACAGGGATCTGGCAGACCCTCCTGATTTATCAAGCACCAGGTTAAGTGTGTCCCCCTCCCCCAGCTTGCATAATTTACACCAAGATAACAGTGACCATGCCCAGGACTTGGTGGGTGCCACGTGCCCTTGACTGGGTTGGGTGTGATGTTGACTCCATGGCAGGGAATCAGACAGGTGGAAAGAGCACTGAGCAGGAAATTTGTTCACTTGGGTGCAAACCCCAGTTCTGCCACTGCTTTGCTGAGATTTAGACAAGTTTACTTGCTTTTCAGCCCAGTAATTTAATAGACTTTTTAAAAAATGGGGATTATCTCTCCCCATACCTTTGAATTTGAGGAAATTATATGAACTAGTGAGCAAAGTATACGGCCTGCTTACATCTCAGTCTGTCCCTAGTCCCATATTGATAGTCCCCTGCTAGGCTGGGTGTCATACAGCTCCTCATACATATGTCTACAGACTCTCCTCCCCAGCCCAGCCATGCACCTCCCATCAGTCACATCCCAGCATTTCCCAGTGCCCTCCCAACAGCTTAGCTCCAGTGCCGGGGCGGCTTTAGCTATTGCAGAAACTCTCCTCAGATTCCCCCTGCTCTCCATCACCCAGGGTAAGAAGTACAAGCCCCTGGATCTGCGGCCCAAGAAAACACGTGCCATGCGCCGCCGCCTCAACAAGCACGAAGAGAACCTGAAGACCAAGAAGCAGCAGCGGAAGGAGCGGCTGTACCCACTGCGGAAATACGCAGTCAAGGCCTGAGTATCACGACGTCAATAAAGCACACACTGGCTGAGTTGCTTTGAGTTTCTAGGTGTTTTCAACTAACTATGGGCTGGTGTGGCCCTGGTTATGGTTACTGGTGGCTGATGGATTTTAGCAGGCCTGCCTACAAGCCATTGGCTGCCCTGGTGTGGGCCGTGACAGTTGTGGCTTCAGGGAACTTGGGTGCTCTGTTATGGTTACTTTGGGCCTGTGGCATGGACCTGCCTGACCTTTCATGAGTTCATTCTGCCAAGTCCACACGCCTTGGCAGGGAGAGGCAGGGTATGTGGTCTGAGAGCCAGGCGTGGTAGCGTTGTCTTTGAGAGTCTCCGGGTGATTTAATCAGGCGGTGAACTTGGCATCTCGCCTAATCAGCAGCTCCAGACACTAAAAGTTTTCCATCCGGGGTGAAGACACAGGCGTGGGCCACATCCAGGACTCCCTGCCAAAAACACGTCATGGGCTCTGGGGATGAGAGTCCTGCCTGCCACTGGCCCCCTGGCAAGCCTTCTACTGTGCCCGTGGGTGCTACTGCCACAGGCCTTACCGTCAGGGTTTCAATGCACTTTCCTGTGTTGCAGTCCCAGACTTTGACCTGCAAGTGGAAACAAACAGAAAGGTAGAGAGCCTCACCACACAAGTATCTTTGAAATCACCTTGGGGTGAGCCCTAGCCGACACGTTAACCTCTTGGTCTGGATTTTGTTGTCTGTGAAATATATTTAATAATGCCCAACATGATACTTGATGTAAAAAATCAGTGTAATACAATTTCCTTTCCCCTGAAGCTGTTAGAGTCATAGAAGTGTCACTAACATTTGGGCCAACATAGACCTTAGTGCCAGGCACCAGTTGCAGAAGTGGCTGACATCTGGGTCCTGCCCTTGGCACCCTCCCGTTTAGGGCAAATAGGGATATGGACCTTTCTGGACAGAGTGCCGAGGCCTCTGGGAGGGAGGATGTGGGGGTAGCAGTTTGCCAGGAGGAGAGGCCTGGTGGGGTGTGGTTACCATGTGAGAGTAGCCAGCGCTGGCCAGCTGCAACCCGCTGGGGGAGAAAGCTATGCTCTTCACCCACGTGGCGTGGCCTTTGAGCTGGACAAGCAGGCTTCTGGTCGAGGGCTTCCAGATGTGGATAGTCTTGTCCCAGGAGCCAGATGCCTGAACGGTGGACAGCTCGTCAGCCCGAGGGTTTAGGGCCTGCATGCTCACTGGGCCCCAGAATGGCCCATGACCTCCAAGGGTCTTGCATCCAGTAAAGGGCCAGCCTAGAACCCAGGGCAGCCTAGCTCACCAAGAGGCCAGAAGCTGAGTAGCATAGACAGCTGATGTTGCCACTGTGACCCTCCAGTTCCCGGTAGAAGATCTCTGGGGTCCTTGCCCGAAGGTCCCAGATGCGAATGGTGGAGTCCCAGGAGCCAGTGGCCTGCAGACAGCAGCCCTGAGCATGGACCAGCCAGCCCACACCCCTGGTTCCTAGGCTGAGTGGACTCGGAAAGCAGGCGCCATTTCACCAAACCCTGTGGAACCCCATCTTACAGAGAAGGGGACAGGCTCAGATGAGCAAAGTCACCCAGTCAAGGTCTGGAATTATAACCACTGCTTCATCCCAGGTGAAAAGTGGATGTTGACACTAGGTTCCCTCATCAGGTAGGGCTACTGAGGTGGGGCCCAGGCAGAGGGGATGTGTCTCACCAGACAGTCTGAGTTGGGTGCAAAGTCACTGCTCTGGATGGAGTCTTGATGCCCAACTAAGTGGCGCAGCACCTGGCCAGACTGAAGGAGAGAGCCCTGAGCTTTGGAGGACAGCCCTGAAGCTTCGCAGTGCCAGGTGCTAGGCTTCAGATGGTTCAGACCCAGGACCTCCTTGTGAGGCTGCCCGGGCATATGAGGTAATGCAGGGTCTGGGAGGTTTCCAGGTCTTTGACAGGAGAGGGCAGTCCAGGCAGGGGGAACCTCATGGGCATGAGAGCTGGTATGTGCGGGGAGGCTGGGAGGTAGCTGCAGCCAGATGCAAGGGAATCTTGGGTGCGAGTTATGGACACAGGCATTGGGGAAGACTGGGAAAGACCTTTCTGGGGCCAGTATGGAGGGTTCGTGTCTCAGGATCCCAGGCCTCATACCTGCACCTCCCAGAGGATCACCCGCTTGTCCCAGCCACCAGATGCCAGCTGCTTCGAGTCAGGGCTGAAGCTGACTGTCTCCACACTCCTCTGGTGACCTGTGAGGTGGCACAGCAAGGTCTGAAAGGGAACCCAGGCCTGGCTGGTTGGCTCCCAGTCCCATCCAGCCCACTCACCCTTTAGGACCTGTAGGCACTTTGTTTCTGCTACATCCCACAGGCGGATGGTGCGGTCACAAGAGGTGCTGGCAAAGAGGCGGCCGTCAGGGGAGAAGCGGCAGAACTTCACGGGGCCTGGGGTGGGTGGCTGTGGTTAGGGAATAGGGCACTGCCCTCCACCTCCAGCCCTTGCGTTCGGACACCTGCTAATAACTCCAGCCTTGCAGCCTACCTCCCCTGTGCACTTCTAACCCTCACCACCTGGAAATTCCTGCACTTCTGTGTCTTGGTCTGGAACACCCAACCCCAATTTGCCCATTCGGAAAATCAATACCCAATCAAATGCAGGCACCTCCCAGAAAAAACGACAGCCCAGCCTAGGTTCATTGCCTCCTTTGAGCTCCCCAGTCCCTGGATTTTCCCTATTATAGCATCAATCAACCTGCCCTGTAATTACCATGTTTCCTTGTCTCATTATAATAGTTATATCTGCTGAGTACTTACTGGTTGCTAGGCACTTTGCTTGCATTATCTTATCCTACAGGGTAGCAACTATTATCCCCATTCTAAGAAGGAATTAGAGGCTCAGAGAGGTGACAACACAAACAGTCAAAATGGTGGGTGAAACATAGATGAACTTTAAGGACATGCTAAGAAAAGTCAGCCAGTCACAGAAATATTGTATGATTCCACTTATACAAGGTATTTAGTCCAATTCACAGAGACAGTGGAATGAGGGTTGCCAGGGTTGGGTGAGGGGAGGAATAGGATGTTTAATGGGCATAGAGTTTCAGTTTTGCAAGGTGAAAAGTTCTGGAGATTAGCTGCACAATGTGAACATAGGTAACAACACTCAACTGTACACTTAAAAATTGTTAAAATGGTAAATATATTTTAAAACAATTTTGTAAAAAAGTAGTAGGATCTGAGGCCAGGTCTGCAAGAGTCAGGCCCCAGGGACCAGGTCCTGTCTGCTGCCCCAGCCCTGCCCAGGCTGTCTTGCACAGATGCTCAGCTCAAATGTCGGAGGTCATTGTGGTAGGCTCTGTAAAATGCTGGAACATGGGCCTCGGTCTCCCCATCCAGGCAGAGGAGCCCCACCTGTGTGGCCACCCAGCCTCCACAGCAGATGCCCACTCTGGGTCTTCCAGCCATACACACAGCCATCCTCTGAGGCTGTGAGCAGTGTCTGGCAGTCAGGAGAGAAGGCAGAGGAGTTGACCTGCAATGAGAGGGCAAAAGTAGTCTCACCCTGGGACAAGAAGCAACATCCTGCTCAAGCTCGACCCCAGATACCTGGGCCAGCCCTAAACATGCCCCTAGGAGCCTGGGGTTGGAATGGGGACTTCAGGTCTCACTCTACAGTCAGAGCCCAGAACCCAGGAACCGCTGCAGTCAGAGCCAGGATCCTGCAGCTCTTTCTGGAGCCCCGTAAATCCTGAACCTGAAGCTCAGAGCCTCGCTGAAGCCAGAGGCTGGAGCCTACACCAGAACCAGATCTGAGCCAAGAGCCCATTCTAGAGCTGGAGCCCAGGACTAGAAGGTCAGAATCTACTCGAAGCTCTGAGTTCTCTTTAAGGCCAGAGTCCAAAGAACACAAGTCAGCCAGGAAGGAGTTTAAACCTTCTCTGGAACTAGAGCGTGGAACCTGGAGCCCATTCTGCATCCGAAGTCCAGCGAGCGCTCTGAACTTCGCACTACGCGAAGCCAGGAACCACTCTGAGCAGAGCCAACGGGCCTCACCTCCCCGCGATGCCGGCTGAAGAATTTCACTCTCCCCACAGCCAGCGTCCCTGGGGCCCAGCTGTTCATGGGCCCGCAGCCGGCCAGCCCCGGCCCGCTCCCTCCTAGACCGGCGCTGGTCGGGCTGCGGACCCGGTACTTACAACGGGAAGGAGAAAACTGTGTACTAGCGGTCTCCATGGCAATCGGGGCGGGGCGGGGCGCACAGCCGCTCTGGGGGCTCTGGGAAGCCAGGAGGAGACAGACTGGGAGAGAGTTCTCAGCTCCGGGGAGGTGGCGCCATAGCAGTCAGGCCCGTGGGCGGCTCTAAGATGGGGCTTGGGTGGCTCTGGTGGCGCACGGCTGCCGCGAGAGGGCACGCCAGCCCCACACAGCTCGCCTGCCTCTCCTGCTGCTCTGAACTCGGCCACAGTGCTGATCTGTTCGCAAAGGACCCACAGCCCCCTTGGAGCCTGTTTCCCCGTTTGCACAATGGGGAGGATCATCCCTGCCCCCCAGGAATCCAAGCTTGAGCCAAGCGCAGGGCCTGCCACCTCGTAGGTGTCCTGGAGTCAAGACCCCTTTTCTCCAGGAGTGGCCAGTACCGAAGCTGAGAGCTCCCACAGAAAGGGCTGGAAATGATACCCATCTTTGCCTTCCAGGATGTGGGGAGCCAGAGGTAGTGTGTGTAAAAGCACAGGACACTAAAAAGTGATGTCACTGTCGTTAACGTTCCCGGAAGCACAAAGTATGCCATCTGAGGATGCGGCAGCCATGCACAGAGGCCCCAGGAGCTGTCAAGATCCTTGTTGGATAGTTCAGGCTGAAACAGGGAAAGAACAGGACTTGGTTTGAATGTCTATTTTACAGATGAGGAAACAGGCTCTAAGATGAGTGGAGACTTGCCCAAGGTCACTCAGCTAGCAGGAAAGGAACCAGGACTTCATCCCATGCCTGTCTGACTCTGGGAGCCTATATTGGGACCACCTGCCATGAATTCCGGGAGCCTCACAAAGGATGTCCAGGTCCCTGGACTCTTGGTACATCTGGGAAACAGGTCCCGAGGGGGCAGATTTGGGCCAGTCACCCAGCACCTCCATGGCAGAGCTAAGGCCAGGTCCATCCCCCACAGCAGGACAGGGGTGAGACTGAGACAACCTTTGCCCCACTGTCCCTGGGGGTGGGGGTGGGGCATCTGGGCTTTGGGAGCTTCAAACTCAAGGGTTCCCAGTGGTGACTCACACCCCTCCCCCCAGACGCTGTGCCAGCAGCCGTTGTCACGGGAGATCTGAGATCCTCTGAGCTTCTGCTCTATTTTAGGCCCCAGACAGTCAGGCGGGAGAGGGGGGCACAATGGTGGCTTTGAGGCAGCCCCACCCCCATTCTAACTCCCAGAGGTTCCCAGGACACTGAATTGACTCCAGAGGGACCTGTCTAAATTGGGCCTCTAAGACCATCCTTCAACCCTAGATTTGGGTCCCAGACATGGCTCCCCCTTAGCTGGCTCCTCAGGCCCTCCCCCTCCCTCTGCTCAGGCACCCCCAGCCCATGCACCATCTGTCATTTCCCCAGCCACCTGGTTGTTCCTACTCTACCTGGAAGGCCCAGCCCATCACTCCTAGAGCCCTCTAGACAGAACTCATCCCCTTGGCCAGTAGGGGTGGAGCTAGGGTTAAAACCTTTCTGCTCAACTCAGGAGTCTGTGGTTGGAAACACCCACCATGAATTCGAGGGGCCTTGGGGGCCAAAGCATCATCATGTCTACCTCTCCTGCCTCATCCTGCCACTCACAGTCCCCTGCTCCCACCTTGCTCCTTGAACTACAAGGGTCCTTTCTTCCATGCCTCTTGGCCTGTGCTCCCCGGATCAGCTTGAATATCACTCCCCCTCGCCCCTACCGTGGCCATCCCTTGCCCAACCCCCAGACTAAGTCAAAGCTGCTGCCCCAGAGATGGGCATTAGAGCCACAAGTCCGGGTTAAACCTGGGTTCTGCCAATGACCAGTTCTGTAACCTTGGGCAAGCCGCCCGATCTCTCAGTACCTCTGTTTCCTTATCTGTAAAATGGGGGTACTCACGGTCACTGCCTTGTGAGGAGTTGGTGGGATGGTGCCTGTCAAGGTCACCTGGTGTGCGGTAAGTGCTCAAAGAAGACAGGAGGCTGCGACGTCTTCCTTTGTTTCTTTAGCTTAGAGCCCAGACACGAATGCCCTTTGCCAGGCCCCCAAGTGACCCACAGCCCAGGTACACCTCGTGATGTAGAGGGGGACCAGACATCAAGGGCTGTGTGCCTTCATGCCTGGCAGGGGCTGCACCTGCAGGATATGGTCCAAAGTGGGGGCGAAGCACTGGTGCGTCATAGTCACGGTGGCAGCAGAAGTGTTTCTGCCCACGAGATTGGGGGGCCTAGATTCTAGTCTTTCCAAGAGGGTCTCTGGGGGACATTTTCCACCCCTGGACTGTCTCTTCCTTCTTAGGGAGCCTGCCACATTCTCTCCTCCCCGAGCCCAGACTATCTGGAAGAGGGCTCTACGCTGGCCTTTGCCACTCCTGCTGCTCCCCTAAACACCCATGGTCCTGGGACCAGCCTTGCTCTCTTCATTTCCTCAAAGTAGCTGCCTTTGCAGGCTCCTTGGTTTCCTCTGAAACTGCCATTGGTAATAGCCATTTTAAAGAGAAAACTGGAGATTCAGAGAAGGAAATGACATGCTCAAGGTCACACAGCTAGAAAGCAATAAAGACGAGATTCAACCCCGTGTCCAATAACCTCAAGCTCCTGACTCATTTGTTGCATGAGACATTCTTCTAGTATAACCTGGGAAGGTTGGGATACCTCGCTATCCCGCAGGACAACCTAAACCATCATGAGAAAGCTGGACAATCCTGGGTGAGTGAGAGTCTGCCTTGCACTAACAGAGTGGAGGGTGGGCAATTCCACACTCAGGGACATATCCAGCACTGTCTGTAGTTCTGGAAGGCTGGAAACAACTTGAATAGACAAAGACGGTAGAAATGAAAGGTTGCGTAGTCAAATAATGAAAGCTATACAGCCAGGGAAATGAACAAACTACAGCTCTGCATATCAACATGCAAACATCTCACAAACATGCTCAGCAAAAGCAGCACCGAGACAGAAGATGCTATAGACATACCCCGTCATATAAAAACCAAGACATGCCAAAGGCAACCCTCATTTCTCAGGCATCCATCCATAGGTATTGAAACTATAAGGAAAAGCAGAGAACAAGACACTCCTGAATCACCCAGGGAGGGGACACGGGGCCTTGCAGAGTACTTGCTCCTGGTGTTCTGGCCTCCTGAATCACCCAGGGAGGGGACACGGGGCCTTGCTCCTGGTGTTCTGGCTTGAAGATGGGCAGTGGGCACCCCGGCGTTTGTTGGGTTACTCTTTAATAACTGATCCCACCTCTTGGTCCCTGCCCGCCTTGCCTGCTCCTTCTTCTGTCTTCCTCCCCCCTCCACATTTCTTGTCTCCACTAACCCCATCCTGAGCAGTTTGGTGGATTATGCAGTGCCAGGGCCAGGATGCACTTTCAACAGTGTCCCAGGAAGCAGAGAAAGCTGTTTTGCAGCAAGAGAGCAAGTAAGGAAGAGAGAGATAGAGTCAGACTGCCCAGTTCCTGCCAGCTTTCCAGCTCCCGGCTCCAGTCCCTAGGGCTGCTGTCCTAAAAAGCACCTGTTTTCCTAAGTTCCCTTTTTTTTTTTAACTTAGTGAGTGCCGGTCTGGTTTTGGTTACTTGCCACCTGGGGGACTTTAACTAAAACATCTCTGTAATTTCCACAGCCGGTCCCCTAGTATTATGCCTTTAGGACCTCTTCTTTGGGATTCCTCTGCAGTTATTTACACACAGGGATCCTAAATCCCCAAGGGTGATCAACGCCCCCCAATCTCCCTGGTTTCCCCAAACCTGGGCCACCCGTTTTGGAATGAACTACAATTGTCATTGTCCCTCCCCAAGTGTGAAGATCAGAACTGGAAACATGCTCTGTGTATGGACTGACAAGGGCCAAGTTGAAAGGTACTTGTCATCTCTAGTGTTCAAGGACACGCGGATTGCATTACTAGAGGCATTTGTGTTTCGACAGCTACGTTATTCTGGTGACTCACTGAATTTGCAGTGAGAGTTTCTTCCTATGGACTACTGTCTAGCCAACTCCCCTCTCCCCGGTCTGGTACTTGCACAATGGATCCTTCGGAAACACATGCAAGACTTTACATTATGCTGGTTAAATGTCATCTTCTTGGCTCCCATCCAGCTGTCTAGTCTCGAAAGTGTTGTCAAGTCCAGCTTCTATTGTACAAAGCATTAATTCTGCACTGCGGCAGCTGCAAATTTTATGAGTAGGCCTTCTGTGTTCTAGATCAAAATTGTGAAAATTACGATCAGTGGGACAAGATTAAGGACAGAGCTCTGTGGTCTACCACTAGAGACTGCCAGTGATTCTCACTTTTTTGCACCCATTCATACCCAGCAGGATCATGGACTCACTGTGGGTTGGGGTAGGGTGCACTCCCTTAGGAGCAGATCTGGGTGAGGATGAGAGTGATGAACTCCTAACTCAAGCAGGACTCTTGGGTTGCAAACAACAGAAGCCATCAATGGCAAAAGGGACCATATGGGAATCACAGATGGGAAGGACTGCAAACCAAGGAAGGGCAGGAAGCAAGGGCTGAGAATCCAGGGCGAAGCCTAAGCTGTTCTAGGTCCTGAGTGAGCAAATAATTGGCCTAGTTAAGGTCACACGCCCACTCCTCGGTGAGTGGAGGGTGGGGCATCTTGATTGGCAGTCCTGGTAAGATCCAGGCTTCTACTCCCACCTCCAGCCGCCTCTGGTTAATCAATCCAGGATCTCTAGGTCAGTTTAAAGCCAGCTGTGCAGCTGTGGGTTCAGGGGCCAGACAGTTGTGTTCAAATTTCTGACTCCACCACCCACTAGCTGTGACCCCAGGCAGATTTACCTAACTGCTCTGTGCTTCCTTTCCCTCATGTCTACAGTGAGGGTAGTGATTATGACCCATCTTATCAGGCTTGCTGTGAGGATGGAGTTAACACATGCTAAGTGCTTGGAACAGCATCTGGAGCATAGTCAGTGCTCTTTTTGGTCAGCTGTCTTATTAAAGTATTATTGTATGGTGAATCCACATTTTTCCATTGTATTCCCATGTGTGAAGACACATTCCCATGTCTTACAGAAATGGAGGTAGGTGTATCTGAATTGGGCATGGTTGTCCTGTTATTCAAGGAGAGAGGCAAGAGCGACTAGATTTAATGCCAATGACCGTCGTTGGCATTTCTGGCCACCACTTCCTTTTCTGAGCGCTCTCAAATCACTACCGAATAATCTGTCTAGTACGTGCTTGGCGATCAATGTTAAGCTAACTAGTCCACGACTGCTGGAGTCACACTCTTTAGAAAAATGGGGCAATGGTACTTTCTCCTGGCTCCTGGCTTCTGGCTTCTGGGCCATTCTTGTGGCTTCAGAGTCACAC